TTTCGATTGTTATACCTTATCGTGATTAACTTTTTAATTATTTTTAAAGTTTAAAGTTTGTGAATCTTATCTTTGATGTTGAATTTATGATCTTTGATTCTAGGTGCATTGTTTCACACGTATTTACATATCTACCTATAACAAAATTATAGGTCGAAATATGTATTTTTAAGAGGAGGGTTCACATGATATTTAAATACAGTCCTGACTCAAGAAGATTGCGAAATACCTAAGGAAAGGGAAGCTATTTCTTGAATTGCTCTCGACCTGCAAAAATCGCGCATAGGGTAATATTACGTAATCGGGATCGGTCGAATATCTCTCTTAGTTTTAGTCGTACGAAAAAAATTCTAAGAATAAAGTTGTACTATATTAAAACGCACATAAAATGGCAGAAAATATTTTTTCTTGAAATCGTTTTTTTAATGAGATTTTAAGGTTCTCTTTCTCCCTGTTTCGACTCTATCTAACCTTCTGATTGTACAATCTTCTTGCTCACTAAAAATCATTGAACAATTTATTTTGTACAATTTTCAATATAATTAAAGTTCATAGTAGTTTGTATAACATTGAGCATAATCTATTACGCTGCTATTTTGAATAATTTTGAATATAAACATACACTGTTAGTTTGCATAATGCTGGATATGATCGAAGCTCACGTTGTATATTTTGTATAGTTTTGAACATAATCAAAGCAAATCTTTCTGAAAGTTATCCAAAATCAGTATCAATCACAACACATTTTCTATATAAATTAATTAAAAATATCCAAGTTAAATGAATAACTTTGTATCACTAATTTTGCATCCAACAATTTTGTGATAATAATTTGCAAATACGCGAAGCGTTGTTTATTGACCCACCCTCAAATCACAGGAAATTTCCCAGCGAATGAAATATTTAAATTTAATGAAGGAGGCCGGAAGAAGTCAAAAATAAAAGTAGCCGAATGAATATGTAGCGGGGTTAAATTCTAAAGTCGCTGATAAATGGACGAAGATAGCATATCGGATGCAATTCATGACCGGTAAACGTAATTCTGTCGGTGTATTTTTCTTCCCTTTTTCATTTCTCACCGCGGCATATAACAAGGGTTGCAAATTAGCGAGAGGAACGAAATATCTCCCTTGATAGTTGACAACACGATGAAATTTCCGCGCACGCGACCGAATGAAAAGGGGAGGAGGAGGAGCGCGCGACTGCATAAAAATACAACCGCAAACGAACAGGCAACGATGGAACTAAGATCACAAAAGCCGGTGTATCACGTATGCGGATGATGAAACTAACCGTGATTTATATGTATAGTGCTGCGATTACGATGCTTTTTGGATGCTGGTACAGTTGCGTGTATTGTCGTTACTATAAGTAGGGAACGAGGTAGATCCATTTCCTCTCCTAATCTCAACCACTCGTTGTGATTTGCTTGTGGGGTGATATAACGCGTAGCAACATAACACGTAAGATTTCGTGAATTTAAACGTTTCCACATTTTTTTGTTTGGAAGTTTGAAAGTTTATAAATTTGAGACTTTGGATAATGGCAATATAACGTGCGGCAATATAACACGTGGCAATATAATATGTAAGATTTCATGAATTTGAACATTTGTATCTTGTTTAGTTTGCAAGTTTAAAAGTTTCCTAAATTGCAGAATTTGGATAATGGCAATATAACGCATGGCAATATAATACGTAAGATTTCATGAATTTGAACATTTGTATCTTGTTTAGTTTGGAAGTTTGAAAGTTTATAAATTTAAGAATTTGGATAATGGCAATATAACGCATGGCAATATAACACGTGACAATATAACATGAAAGGTTTCATGAATTTGAACATTTGTACTTTCTTTAGTTTACAAGTTTAAAAGTTTATAAATATGAGAATTTGGACAATGGTAATGTAACGCGCGGCAATATAACACATAAAATTTCTCGAATTCGAACATTTGTACCTTCTTTAGTTTGCAAGTTTGAATTCCAATTCTCAAATTTATTTGGGACCATTGAATTGGGACCATGAGAATTGGAACCATGGAAATATAACACGCGGCAATACAACACGTGGTAAAATAACGCTTAAAATCTTATAAATTTCAACATTAATGCATTCTTTAATTTGGAAGTTTGAAAGTTTATAAATTTGAAAATTTGGACCATGGCAATATAACGCGTGGCATTATAACACGTGGTAAAATAACGCGTAAAATATCATAAATCTGAACATTTGTACATTCTTCAGCTTGAAAGTTTAAAAGTTTATAAATTTGACAATTTAAATTGTGGCAATATAACACGAGGCAATGTAATACGAGGTGAAATAACGCGTAAAATATCATAAATCTGAACATTTATACATTTTTCAGTTTGAAAGTTTAAAAGTTTATAAATTTGACAATTTGATTGTGGCAATATAACGCGAGGCAATGTAACACGAGGTGAAATAACGTGTAAAATGTTATAAATTTTAATATTTGTACATTCTTCAACTTGAAAGTATGAAAGTTATAAATTTAAAATTTTGAGTTGCGGCAATATAACGCGAGGCAATATTACATGCGGTAAAATAACGCGTAAAATGTCAAATCTGAGCATTTGTACATTTTTCAATTTGAAAGTTTGAAAATCCATAAATTAAAAAATTTGAATTGCGGCAATATAACGCGTGGCGATAGAATGAGTGGTAATATAACATGTAATGATACAGCATGTAGCAAAACAACGCCTGACATTTGTAAAATTTGTAAATCCCCAAATTGCAAATTCGTAAAAGTGTAAATTTGCAAATTCGCAAATCCCAAATTGCGAATTGCAAATACGTAAATGTGTAAATTCGCAAATTGCAAATTCGTAAATTTGTAAATTTGTTAATTTGTAATTCCGTAAATTTAAAGTTTCACAATTCCTAAATTTCCAAATTTAAAAGTTCCCAATTTCGCATATTTACACAATAAACTAAAAAACGTATAATTTCAAAATTAATAAATTGAGGAATTTGAAATTTATAATTGCACATACAACAACTCAACGTGTATGTAACATACCGTCACAAACAATAAACTAATCCTCAAAGAGCTAAAAAGATATAACCACTTTTGATTTCACACTTTCGAACACTCGAAAGGGTGCACCGAAGTATTAACAAATCTTTGATGCACGACGTGATAGAATTTCGATCGTAACAAGTGTTAAATCGCAAGCGAATAAAAGTTTCCATAAGGGGTACCCATCATCAAAACTATGTCAATTCGTAGCAATCGCCGTGAAAGTTTTATAATGGATTTTGATCGTGGATCGATAAGCAAGTACAATTGAGTTGGACGTGCACGAAGACCGTATTCAAATTACGTGCTTAATTGAGAACTGTTTGGTAGAAGTGACTTGGGAACGATGGTGAAGATAAAAGCTCTTTAAATGCTCAATTAATAGTGCTCTTAATTAACGTGACTATGTACACTACTGCTCAAAAGTATCTCCTCGATGATTTTTTTGCTTTTACCAATTTAAATTATCGAACACTTACGTTTCCCGATAAGCTAACTATTTTTTATTACAATTTTAAGATTTCAATGGTACTTAATTATACTTTCATTATTATCGATGTTGCGTGAATTGCGAGGAAAAATTGCTTTTGTTATTTAATTGATTAATATGTTATGAAATTAATGTATTGTGAAAGGTGAAATTTAGATTGGTTATATCAGGAGAGTCTAGGGATATACTAGGAAAAATTGAGAAACTCTAAGGACAGTCTGGGGATAATTAAAAACATACTTGTATTACTACGTTTTTCTGAAGAACTGTTTGGAGAACTATAGTTTGAATCTACACTAATTATGCTATTAATAAAAATTTACTACTATAATAGTAACAATATTAGATTTGAAAAATCTTAGTATAAATATCTTTAGTAGATGTTTCCCTAGATTATCTTTTCTGTGAAGGTTGTACCAGAGATGGTTATTACTTGTTTCATGTAATCTGACCTAGACCTACATAAAACAATACATAACTCTCAGATATTTTAATAAATGCATCGTTTTCTATTATATTGCCTTTTTTCACAAGGAAGCTATACCAACACCAACAGCAATAATGAGAAGAATTCGTAAGTGAATACCGCTACAATATTCTTCTCACAAAATAATCTTGATATAGTAAGGTTTAAGAATTGGAACTAGTGAAGAAGTCGACTTTCCCTATATTACCGTTTCCTTAGCAACAGTTATACTGATATAGATCTAACCGAAGCGCAGTTCTGAAGGAAGTATTGGTGTGTAATTCTACCACATCCCGTATATCGCCCTTTTATCAAGAAAACTTTACTAACAAGGAGACCTCACGATCTTGAAAACCCCGATTTCGGTCAAACTTAATATAATGTCAGAGTACTCTAAAGTACATAACTCTGCAAAATTGTAGCATGCAATTTTATAAAATAAGGGAGAAATTTATACTTCAAGTTTTAGTAGTTCACTATACTACTTATCGTAATAAGACCTCACGATCTGTGAAACACCGATTTCGGTCAAACTTAATATAGTGTTAGAGTACACTAAAGTACATAACTCTGCAAAATTGTAGCATGCAACTTCATAAAATAAGGGAGAAATTTATACTTCAAGTTTTAATAGTTTCTCTCTACGAAAGATTATATTTCTGGATTATTTAAGGTTGTACTACTACTAATACAAAATCAAATAGTACCCTGGATATAGGACTAATGTACTACCTAGCTATACTTATAGTAATAAGACCTCACGATTTTTGAAACAGCGATTTCGGTCAAACTTAGTTCAATTTTAAAATATCCTAAAAGCAATAATTCTACAAAATGACATCGCGCAACTCTCTAAAATAAGAAAGAAATTTACAATTATATTTATCGCCTAACGAAAGACTATGTTATTTCCGAATTTAATACTGGTCTAAACCATTCCGACTAGTACTAAATCAAGTACTGGTTAGTATAAGTTGTGGAATGTGATTACTCACCTGTCCGTAGTTGTCGAATCCGTGTTTGGCGGCGATCTCCGCAGCGGCGTCCGGACCATCCGGCACATGGACCGCAAACTGATTGGTGTAAATCGGGGATGATCTCGAGCGTGGTTCAGCTTTCGACTTCACTAAGGCACCGATCAGCAACACCAGCACGCACAACGAGCTCGTTTGGACGATCATCTCGTCAACGATTCAAACGGCCAATAAAGAAATGAGACAGCCGAAACTACGATTGCTTGGACACCGATTCACGATCAGACACCAACGACAAGATGCAACGATCGAAACGCGAATTTTCATTTAAATTTTATTTTAACATTGCTTCTCGTTTTCCCCGCGCGACGACGAGAAGAAGAAGGAACAAAAGGAGTTTAAAACACGATTAGAAACGCGACACGACACTTGGTTGGATCACTTTGACCACACTGACCGATCATCGACTCCTCTGTTTGACGTATCTGGAATTGAAATAAAGAACGATATGAAGATTTGCGGTACCGGAAGATGGGTACCGGAAGGATGTTGGTGCAATCCTTGCGGTAGGCTGATATTTATTATCGTTTCGCTGGATTTTCCGCGTTCGCCGGATATTCTCGACGATTTATAGCGGTTTACCGATTCACATTCTATATTTAATTTTTAACACGTTCCGTGCCACGTGTACCACCAGTGGTACAAACATATTTATTTAATGCACTGAAAGTATATGTTCATGACAAATTTAATTCTGTAAAAAAATAGTTTTACTAAAAGATCAAAGCATTGTACGATATTGATTTTATGTGCACAAAACGTGTGCTCGTTAAATTTTGAACAATCGAAGTATTTTCTGTTACAACACATATTACGTACAACACACAAAACTATGATAAAAAACTGAAAATAAATTGAAACGCGTATCCCCGGACTACTTCAATTATTCCTAACAATATTTTTCACGAAAGCAATTCGAGAATTCGAGCACGCGTTTTATTTAATTGCTTCGCATGTTCATTGCAGTAATTTGCATCCGTCCACGTTCGGTCATAACTGTTTGGAAACTGTGTTAATTACGTAAATCTCTGTGGCACAGGTGGCCCTGGTGGTGGGTGGAACGGGTCATCGAGTAACGTTTCGGGTCAACGAACTTCCGCTGGTACATCCCTGGTTCGGGGTGGTGTAGGAGGAATTGGTTGCAGTCCTGGAAATCAGAGTCACGGAAATGGAGGATTCGGTGGTGGGGGTGGTGGATGTCGTACTGGAGGTGGTGGGGGTGGCTATATAGGTAACAGTCTATTTTTAGCAGATTTTTTACTAACCGAAAAATTTCGAACTGACTGACTTTTGCTCTCGAACTAATCGCAGCGCCACGTGTACCACCGGTGGTACACGATGTGATAACTGCTCTAAACAAGAGAACTACTTATGTATTGATGATATAATGAAATATTGTGTGATAATATATCGATCTTTAGTCAAAATATCAAATGGCCTGAACGACAAGTCAGGCAAAAATGGCTTGGCACGGAACGTGTTAATATTATATGTATTGTATAGCTTAGATCACTTGCAATATGGCAATAACTGGGCAGTGTTACACGGGGTGTTGCCTGTAACGCTACTCATGATTCTTCTTCTACTTGCAGCCACCTTACAAAAAGTTTACAACAATATTTGCAGAGTATGAAGTGCACAATAGATATTAGTAAAGCAAATTTTGAAAACAGTTTGTAGTCTTGACAAAATCAAGGTTACTTGGGTCATGTCACTTGGGTTTTTTCAATAGGAACATACATTTTTTTTTATTCGTAGCTTTAGAGGACATCGAGACGAATTCAAAACACATATTACATGATATTTTTATTAACATATTACTCGATTTACAGAAGAGGAAATGTGAAGTACTTAGCTTTTGGTAGTGTAACAATTATTTGATTCCGAAGAGATTACTGAATGCAAACACGCGACTAGAATGTAAGAAAAATACACTTTATTTAATTACATGTTCAAAATGTATGCCGCCTTCAATCACGTAATATTCCGGTCTTTTACTTCACATTTCCACTTCTGTAAA